CATGTCGGGGTGTTTGTGAACTTTGCTGCCTGAAGGGGAGCTAAGAATAGACGTTGCCCAGGGGTTATTAGGACAATGACCTGAGTTACTGCTTGGTGCTGGAGTCAGGAAGCGTTAACTGTTCTGCCGTGGGACTCATGGCTCTCAGCCCCGCCCTTGTCCTTGCTCCCTTCAGAAAGCAGACGTGGTGTGTCAGGTAGTTGGCCTCCTACACGTGTCCACAAGAAAGACCAGAACAGCTTTCCTGCCTCTCGCCCGAACCGCTTGTTCCGAGTGCTGAGTGTGGCCGAGCGGGTCCTGGATTCCAGTCTCGGAAGTCGTGGTCTCGGCTGGTTCTGCAGCCTCCTGTCGAGCCCACTGGGCACGGCCTTGACTCAGCTCCCGGGGAGCAGCCTGCAGAGCACGCGGCAACTTCCATGGCGCCCTTTTTTTTTTTTTTTTCTTCTAAGATTTCTTTATTTGAAAGGCAGAGTTAAAGAGAGGGAGAGACAGATCTTCCATCTACTGGTTCACTCCCCAGTGGACGCAGTGGCTGGGCTGGGCCCATCTGAAACCAGGAGCTTCTCTGGGTTTCCCACATGAGTGCAGGGGCCCAAGCACTTGGGCCATCTCCTGCTGCTTTCCCAGGTGCATTAGCAGGGAGCTGGATCAGAAGTGGAGCAGCCGGGACTCGACCTGGCACCCATTTATGGGATACTGGCACTGTAGGTGGTGGCTTTATCTACTGCACTGGCCCCCCATGTTTCCCTTTAAAATGATCTAATTCAGGGGCTGGTGCTGTGGTGATGGGTGCTGGTTTGAGTCCCAGCTGCTCCACTTCTGATCCAGCTGCCTGCTAATTCACTTGGGAAGGCAGTGGAAGATGGCCCAAGTACTTGGGCCCCTGCACTCAACGTGGGAGACCCAGAAGAAGCTCCTGACTTCAGATTGGCCCAGCCCTGCCGTTGCAGCCATTTGGGGAGTGAACCAGCAAATGGAAGACCTCGCTCTCTGTCCCTTCCTCTTTCTGTCTGTAACTCTGCCTCTCAAATAAAAAAATAATTTTTTTCATTATCTCATTTAATGGAGCCCTGAGCTCAGAGCGTCCTCTCTGGCGCCCTTCAGCCTCTGGGTCTCCGCAGGCAGGCACTGACTCCTGAGGAGGCTGGAGGCTGGGGCCAGAACGCGTGCTGGTCAGGCCTGAGAGGACAGGTACACGCTGGCCCCGAGTCCCTGCAGAATGTGTTGTTAAGGTAGCATGAGTCGTTCCTACCAAAAATGTTATTTAGTACTCCCGGGGGGTTGGCAGGCCTCCCGAGACTCTTGTCATGCGGTGTCGCGAGCTTCCTGCCAGCCCTGCTGAGCCTGTGAGGGAGAGCCAGCCTCAGAAGCGCCAGGCCTGGGAGCCCACGAGCCCCCTGACGGGCTGGACGGGGGCCCGGGCCGTGCTGACCACGCTGCACTGGCCATGTCTCGCGCAGGGAGCTGCAGAAGCAGAGGGAGAACACTGCCACCGACGTGCTGCAGAAGAGGCAGGAGGCAGAGGCGGCCGTGAGTCCACGCGCGGCACCCGCGCCCGGGCCCCCTGTGGCCGCGGTGCAGGCGGCAGGGAGGCCCTGCCCCACGTCCCTGACAGCTTCCCTCAGCATTTGAGTCCCCCAAGTCCCCCAGTGTGGGACGCAAGCCCCTAAACTGCTGACTGAATGCCCACTCGTGTACACGGCCTTGTGTGGGACACGGGGGCAGAGCCATCCTGGGAAGGGGCAGCGTGTTGCCAGGTTCTCTGGCCAGAGGAAGGCTAAGTGCAGAAGTGCGCCCAGCGCCCAGGCACGCAGCCTGACGTGTGGGCCCTGGCACGGCCAGCGAGCACGTGGCTGCAGAGGGCGGTGCAGCGGTGCCGAGGGAGGACGTGGGCCCTTCCTCGAGAGGAGCTGGCAACGCCCTGGTGTGTGTTTTCCATTGATCAGTGAATCCCACCCTCCACCCGTGATCCTGAGGGAGTGGAACTGCAGCCCCTCTGGCGGGGGGGGGGGGGGGTCCATTTCAGGCTGCTGTGCCTCTGGCCCCCACTGCCCACTCTGGGCATCTGCTCCCTGCCCTGTGAGGGGTGTGGTGCGGGCATGGGCTGCAAGTCTGGCCTCTCCACGGAGAGGTGGAGCAGGCCGGGTCCTGACGCTGGTCACCTGCTCCCTGGCAGATTCGGCTGATGCAGGAATCTGTCCGAAGAATTATCGAGGCAGAAGAGTCCAGAATGGGTGAGCAGGCGCGTCCACCGTGGGCCGGCTGGGCACTGGGCTCAGAGCCGCGCGGGGAGGTGTGTGGAGGAGCCCTCCTTCTACTCTGACCCCGTCTGTCCTCAGGGCTCATCATCGTCAACGCCTGGTACGGGAAATTCGTCAATGACAAGAGCAAGAAGAGCGAGAAGGTGAAGGTGATTGACGTGACCGTGCCCCTGCAGTGCCTGGTCAAGGACTCGAAGCTCATCCTCACGGAGGCCTCCAAGGTACAGCAGCGCCAGCCCGGCTCCCAAGACCACACGCACACCGGCTGCCGGGGGGCCCTTCATATCCCCAGCCCGCCCCGGGGGTCACAGCTCACACGTGTCCTCAGGGCACTCACTCTGTTCCTGCCTTGCTCTGGGAAGAGTCCACCTTAGCAAGTGTGTCACCTACGGAGCCTGGGCTGTGCGCCACACGAAACTAAAAGCCGGTCAGCTCCGGCCACAGTGGACTCCTTGAGGAAGCCATTTGCTGTGTCTGGCAGGGCTCTGCCGGCCTGGTGTGGGGCGGGGCCTACACCACACGGCAGCATACTGGAATTCTTTCTCTTCGAGCTCCCGTGTCTGTCTGAGGGACAGTGGGCCCGGGAGCGGGGGGCGGTCCTGACCGCGCGGCTCTGAGGAGGGTGCTATGTTGCAGGCCGGGCTGCCCGGGTTCTACGACCCATGTGTGGGTGAAGAGAAGAACCTGAAAGTGCTTTACCAGTTCCGGGGCGTCCTGCACCAGGTGATGGTGCCGGACAGCGAGGCCCTCAGGATACCAAAGCAGTGTGAGTGTCCGGGCGCGGCCGGCGGGGGCTCGTGTGGGCGCGGACTTGAGCCCGGGTCAGCCGTGGCGGGGCCGGAGGGGGCTGCGCGTGGGCGCGGACTTGAGCCCGGGTCAGCCGTGGCGGGGCCGGTGGGGGCTGCGCGTGGGCACGGACTTGAGCCCGGGTCGGCCGTGGCGGGGCCGGTGGGGGCTGCGCGTGGGGGCTGACTTGAGCCCGGGTCGGCCGTGGCAGGGCTGGCAGGGGCTGACTTGAGCCCGGGTCGGCTGTGGTGGCTGCTGAACCTGTCGGGAGGAACAGGGCACGGGAAGCGTAAGGCCACTTCAACAAGCAGGTCACCTACAGAGCCTGATTTTTCTCCTGCAGCTCACAGGATCGACACGGACGGATAAGCTGCTTAAGAGACAGACAGAGGCAAAGAGGCTGCATAAAATGCTCCTGGGAGTCTACAGATTCGGAAGCGAGGAAAGCCCCGACATGAGATGTTTTTATTTTATTTTATTCCTATAGAAGGTGGCACCATATCAATTATGTGAAGGGACACGCAGACGGCCCAGCTCCTGTGGGTGCTGCGGGCTCGGGCCACGCCGCAGCATGGATCATGTTCCTGGCAGGAGGGCCTGAGCCCTGGACGCTCCCGGGGCCTCGCCCGGGGCCTGCCGCTGCGGTCGGCCCTCACACAGGACTGCTCTTCCCAGAACCCACACTGGACGCTGGAATCCCATCAGGAAGGAAGGCGGGTGTCCCAGGCCGGGGAGCACTAAGTGAACGCGGAGTGGAGTGTGGGTTTATAAAACTGCTTTTTATCTGAGAACAGACGGGTTCGGAAATCAGTCTTTCTCCCCACTCCCAGGGCTTCTCAAATCATTCCTGCAGCCCCTGGCTCTGGACAGTGGGGTCACTCCCAGCCCAAGGCCACCCACTGGGTCACTTCCTGAACTCCTGCTGGGAAAGACTCTGCCAGTGTCCCCTCTCCTGAGCCACCAGAGGAGTGGCTGGAGTGAGAGCTGTCAAGGGAAGGGAGGTGTTCCCTGAGGGTCCGAAGTGCCAAACCCAGAGGCCTGTGCCTCTAGCAAGCTCCCAGCAGGTGGCGCTGTTGGTCCCCACTGGCCCAAGGGACTCCTGGCTCCTTTCACTTGCCCACACTGGATGAAGCCTTTGTGGGGGTCAGACACCCCGACTGCCTGGCCACCCTCCACAGCACAAGAGCAGAGGCCTGCTGCTGGGGTCCCGAGTCGGTCATGGGCACTGCCGGCACAGATGGGCCGTGGTGGACGGCTGGCTCTGGAGGCTGGGCTGCACCTGGCCTCCAACTCCTGTGTCTGGAGGAGCTCCGGCTGCTGCTGTTGTCTGCCCCCCCCCCCCCCCGCCAGCACTGGAGGCAGAGCAGTGGCCAGTGACCCCCTTCCTCCAATTCCACAAGCAGTCCAGGCTGTCCGATTCTCTAACATGCCATGTTCTGGACGTGGCCCGGTGCCCTCTGCAGCGGGGCCCTCTTCCCTCAGCAGCAGACTGTCCCCACAATAAACCTGTCCTGAAAGCTGAGGGTAGCGTTCTTAGTTCATCTGTGTGTATGTTTGCAGGAGCAAAATGAGGGGGTGCCCCTGCCCCGGGGCCTCATTCCCAGACCTGCTGTGGCCACTTGTCCCATGGCTGGCCCTGGACACCGTAAGCCACGCCTGCTGGTGGCCACTCACCCCGTGGCTGGCCCAGGACACCGTAAGCCACGCCTGCTGGTGGCCACTCACCCTGTGGCTGGCCCTGGACACCTGCTGGTGGCCACTCACCCCGTGGCTGGCCCAGGACACCATAAGCCACACCTGCTGGTGGCCACTCACCCTGTGGCTGGCCCAGGACACTGTAAGCCACGCCTCCTGGTGACCACTCACCCCGTGGCTGGCCCTGGACACCGTATGCCTAACCTGAGGCTGCAGTTTGCCTCTGTCCGAACACTTGGCTGAGAAGCTGAGTCAGAATGAATCGCACTGCAGGTTTTGTTCTTTAATTCACTGAAGTCTCGGTCCTTACGCAGTAGTCAGAGGTGGCCGAGCCTGCTGCCTCTCCCTGGAAACGAGGCCCATGGCGCATCGGCAGCCGTGGGACCGGCGGGAGGATTACACGGGGGCGCGGGGAGCTACAGCGCAGGCTGACGCGTTCCCGCGCCGCCTGCAGACCAGGGCTGCCTGGGCCCAGCGCTGCGGCACGGCTGGCCAAGCCGCCGCCGGCATCCCTCTGGGTGCGGTGCAAGTCCCAGCTGGGAAAGCAGCACCCACATGGGAGACCCGGATGGAATTCCAGGCTGCTGGCGCCATTTGGGGAATGAACCAGTGCGTGGCCGTGCACTCTGCAACTCTGCCTTTCAAGTAAATGATCGGCCTTAAAAGGAATGGGGCCAGCTCTCGGCCGTCCACGCTGGCCACCCACCATGGGGAGTCCGGAGCGCAGCGTGTCGCTGGCCCGCAGGGAGAACCTGTAAGACCCGGGCCCTGGGTCCACCGACGCCCAAGCAGCGGGTGCCAGAGGATGGCGGTACAGAAGCCAGCCTGGGCCTGGTCCTCGCCCCTACCCGACAGCTGCGGCCGGGGGACGGTGGACGTGCACCTGCCGGCGTGCCGCGGCGCTGCCCTCGCAGCAGCAGACGGGAACGGCCTGGCCTGGCCTGGCGCCGCCTCGTCCTGGCGCCCCGTGGGCTCAGCTCCGCTGCTCCGGCTGCGCTCCGGGTCGCGGCCCCCGCCGCCCGGCCCTGGGTGCACGCAGCCGGCTGCGCATGCGCCGCATCACCAGCCGCTGGGCCTTCAAGCGCCTCCGCAGCTTCTCGTTTTCCTTCAGGGTGAGGAAGAGCTTTTTTTTCAGGGCATCTAAGTCCAAGAGGGCGTAGCTGTGGTCAGATGGCTGCCTGGGGAGAGGCCGCCTCAGCCCCGCGGGGCCGGCCGCTCGGCCAGGTGCGTCCGGTCTCTGCGGCCAGACCTGAGGAGAGGCGAGCGGGCGCTGAGGGCTGCCTGGAGGCAGAGGGCGCCCGGCACCAGCGCTGGGCACTGGACGTGCGGTCCACCCGCTCCTGGCACAGAGGCGCCCAGGGCCCGGTGGACGCGCAGAACGCAAGGGGACCGTGTGCTCCCGCGGAGAGCAGCCCGCCACAGCCCCCTGGCCGGGCCTGGGCCTCTTACCGGGCTCCGGGGGCCTCCGGCGTTCGGGGGCAGCTGCAGCTCCTCCAGCGCGGTGCCCATGTTCCTCCCGCCGCCGTGCTCCGCGGACCCGGCCTCAGGGAGGACCTGGGGACAGGCTGAGTCGGGCTTCTCCCCAGCGACCCCAGGGCTGGGGCCAGCGGGAGCCAGGGACAGGGTACGGCCCCAGCGCTGCCACGAACTGGAGAGAGGCCGAAGCCGCGTCACTGCAGCCTCCCTCCGACAGTGAAGCAAGCAGCCAAGGCCCCGCCCAGCAGCCCGTGAGCAGTGCAGGCCCCAGCCCCCGCCCCCGCAGCCCAGTGGGCAGTGCAGGCCCCCGACCCCGCCCCCACAGCCCAGTGGGCAGTGCAGGCCCCGCCCACCCCCATCCCCGCAGCCCAGTGGGCAGTGCAGGCCCCCGCCCCCGCAGCCCAGTGGGCAGTGCAGACCCCGCCCACCCCCATCCCGGCAGCCCAGTGGGCAGTGCAGACCCCGCCCACCCCCATCCCCGCAGCCCAGTGGGCAGTGCAGGCCCCCGACCCCGCAGCCCAGTGGGCAGTGCAGGCCCCGCCCGCGCACTCACCTTTCCCTTCTGGAGGCTGGGCTCGCTGCTCTCGCCCCCAGGGTCCGTGTTCTCCCTCACCAGCTGCAAGACAGAGGCCTGAGGACAGCCGGCTCCCCGAGGTGCTGAGAGCCAGGCACGCCGACCCCGGGCACCTGTCCCCACTGCTCAGCCCCAACTGGGACCCAACGTGGGCCCCGCCCTCCTCTCACCACCCACGTGGCGCTCTTGTCCTCCAAAAGTGCTCCCAAACGTGGGTCAGCGGCTGCTGAGCAAACCCTGTAGCGCTGGGGACCAGGCCTGCGGGCGACCCAGGGCCCGGCAGCCTGCCTCGCCAAGTGCCTGCCCCACGAGTGGCGGCCGCAGCGGAAGCCCTGTCCCCTGGCTCCCAGATGCACCATGTGAGCCACGGGGCCGGCCAGCTTCCCCCACCAAGCTCTGAACCAACCTCTAAGTTCCGGGAGAGCCAGAAGCCTGAGTACGGTAGCACCTTGGGGCCGAACACTTGGGAGAGGACTAGAAAGGGGAAGGTGGGGCCAGCGCTGTGGCGCAGCAGGTAAAGCTGCCGCCTACACTGCCGGCATCCCAAATGGATGCCAGTCGAGTCCCGGCTGCTCCACTTCCAGTCCCGCTCCCTGCTATGGCCTGGGAAAGCAGCAGAAGATGGTCCAAGTCCTTGGGCCCCCACACCGGTGTGGGAGACCCGGAAGAAGCTCCTGACTCCTGGCTACAAATCGGCACAGCTCCGGCCGTTGCAGCCAATTGGGGAGTGAACCAGCAGATGGACAACCTCTCTCTCTCTCTCTCTCTGCCTCTCCTTCTCTCTCTCTGTAATTCTGCCTTTCAAATAAATAAATCTTTTAAAAAGGGGGGGAGTAAGTGGGGCTGGCGCTGTGGTGTAGCAGGTAAAGCCGCCGCCTGCAGTGCTGGCATCCCATGTGGGCGCCGGTTCAAGTCCCGGCTGCTCCACTTCTGATCCAGCTGTGCTGTGGCCTGGGAAAGCAGTGGACGATGGCCCAAGTCCTTGGGGCCCTGCACCCACGTGGAAGACCCGGAAGAAGTTCCCAGCTCCTGGCCATCTGGGGAGTGAACCAGCAGTGGAAGGCTTTCCTCTACCTCTCTGCTTCTGCCTCTCTGTAACTCTGCCTTTCAAATAAATAAATAGGGGGGGGGGGGCAGGTGGCCGCAGGTGCCAGGAGACGTGGGGCAGGCAGGGGATGGGCCGACTGGGAAGAGCCGGGCAGGCAGGGCGCAGGGGCGCAGGCACGTTTGCTGACTGAGTCCAGAGTCGGCCTCAGTCTTCCTCACTCTGCTTGCCCACGCCTGCTCTGGGCACCCACTGGATTTAGGAAAATCGAGGTCACCCTCTCATGGCTCCCACGTCCCACACTCTTCACAAACTCTGCTGAGCAGCACCCACACACCCCGCCCCCAAGACCCGTCCCCTTGTGTCCCACAGGTCCATCAAGGCCTCAGCCAGCTCCAAGCCCCTCCCCTCCACCGCCAGGCCTGCAGGGAGGTCTCAGGAGGTGAGGCCTCTGGGCAGGAGACAGCCTGCTCCCGCCGTCTGCGCGGCCGGCCTGCGGACCCCAGGACCCTCGCCAGGACCCGGCCTTGCTCCACGGCCTCCAGAACCAGCAGTGCTCGGCTCGAGCCACCCGCCTATTAACTGTGCTCCCTCTGCCCTCTGGGGACCTCCAGCTGGGGGACCTTCCCCCACTCCCAGCCCCTGCCCACCGTCCCACGCCTCCCGCCTTCCTGCCCCCGCTGTCTGCCCTCAGCATGCCAGCTGCGGGCCGCCCAGGACATGTGCTGCCGGCTGCAGGAGACCCAGGCAGGCAGCCCCTCCAACCGCGCTGTTGGGAAGCACACTTGGCCTAAAGGGGCCCAACTGACCCCTTCTCCACTCAAGGTCAAGGCCGGCAGAGCCACAGGGCTCCAAGCCCCAGATGCCCGACGGGGCCACTCCTGCGCTAGTGCTTGGCCTTGGCTCCCTGCCCCCGGCTGCCTGTGCCGTCGGGGAGCGCCCTACCTGCGTGGGGTCCTGGAAGGCAAACACCGTGGGCACGGCGTTGTGTTTCAGGTTCTTGCGGTTCCCGAAGGCGCTGAAGCACTCCGGGCTGAAGTGCTCGGAGCAGATGACCGTGTGCTTTTTGGGCTTGAAGTTGGCCCGGCCGATGTTGAGCACCCATTCTTTCAGCAGCTCGGGGCGGCTGAACGGGAACCTAGAAGGGCGAGCGGGCACGTGAGTGAGCTCAGCGCCTGGGGAGCCCGCTGGGCGCGCAGTCACCTCCCTCTGTGCAATCACATCTTGAGGGCTGGTGCTGTGGCACAGCGGGTAAAGCCGCCGCCTGCACTGCCGGCATCCCATATGAGCGCCGGTTCACGCCCCGGCTGCTCCACTTCCGATCCAGCTCTGCTATGACGTGGAAAAGCAGCAGAAGATGGCCCAAGTCCTTGGGCCCCTGCACCCGCGCGGGAGAAGCTCCTGTCGCAGCCATTTGGACAATGGACCAGCAGATGGAAGACCTCCCTCTCTCTGCCTCTCTGTAACTTTGCCTTTCAAATAAATTTAAAAAAAAAAAATCACAACTGATTTCTGGAAGCTTCCGTCATGACTCTTCATGGCATCCTAATAAAGCAAACCGACAATGAAAACGGCCAACATCCCGAGGCCCTGTTACCACTGGCCGCCTAGGGTCAGCAAGACCACCGCTCCCAAGCAGGCAGGAACCAACCACGTGGGCGGCATCAGCTGACAGGAAGTGCTGGGGGGACAGGCAGGGCCACCTGAAGAGATCGCGCTTAGCCAGCAGAGGACACAGCAGGAGGGCGTGGGGGCCAGGGCTGAGCTGCAGGAGGGCACCAGGCGGTCACAGCAGGTGTCAGCGGGAGGCGGGGAGCCCAGGACAGTTCAGAGTGGGGTTTGCCTCGGGATCAGCCACGCGTGGCACAGCAGGGGAAGCCATCGCCTGCGAGACCGTCCTCCCAGACCGGAGTCCACGTCTGATCCAGCTCCCTGCTACCGCGCCTGGGAAGGCAGCAGAGGACCGTCCAAGTGCCTGGGCCCCTGCACCCACGCGGGAGACTCCGATGGGGTCCCAGGTCCTGGCTTCCGCCCGGCCTAGCTGTGTCTGTTGAGGCCGTTTAGGAAGTGAACCAGGGATGGAGTCTGACCTCTAACTCCGGTTTCAAGGAAATACATAGGTCTTAAAAAAAAAAATCAAGGTACTTCTGGATTACCCAAGTGCAGGGCAGCAGGTGGACACAGGCGATGGCTCCTGGGGGCTGTGTGAAGGCCGGCCCTCGGAAACCCACGCACCCGGGCAGGAGGGAACGCGGCCCGCACCCTCAGTAACCCCACTGGACGTGCAGGAAGCAAGCCGGCAAAGAGCTGACTGTCCGAGAAGCCCAGCGGGCAATCGAGGGATGGGCGCCGTCCAGCGGCCCAGAGAGGCCAAGGTGAGCACGGGGCCTGGCCTGCGGCTCAACAGCCCGCATCAGAGTCCACAACAGCCCACTTCTGACCCAGCTCCCTGCTGTGACCTGGGAAAGCAGCGGGAGGTGGCCCAAGTGCCTGGGGCCCTGCACCCACGTGGGAGCCCAGGGAGCTCCTGATTCATCCTGGCCCAGCCCAGGCTGTTGTGGCCATTTGGGGAGTGAACCAATGGACAGAAGATTCCGCGCGCTCTCTCTCTTCAAAATAAATAACGAATGAATTAAAAAAAAAAAAAAAAAAAAGGCAGCTCCATGCCCGGGTGAATGCCCAGGGCAGCGTCTGAGGCGGCCGGACAGGGAGCTGCCCCAATGCCCTCAGCGGGGAGGTGGGCATGCAGCGGGCGGGGCCAGCCAGGATCTGGTTCCGCGGCCCCCGCCGGCTGCCTGGCACGAAAGCGTGGAGCGAGCAGAGGGGGTGCGCACCCCCGGGCCGGCCCGCACAGACGGGACGAGGGGCGGCCCCCAGGTCTCCCCCCTCCCCCGGCTGCCCGAGTCCCTGAGCTCCCGGGTGCCCCGGGCCAGGTGCACGCGGCGCCCCCGCCCCGTGCGCCCCCTCCCCGCGCCCCCTCACCGGTGGAAGGTGAGCTGTTTCCTACAATTTCCATATCGGTTACAGCACAGCCGGGCTGCGCAGGACTTGGGCATCTCCGCCACTAGGCCCAGCTGCCCCCAACAAAGATGGCGGCGCGGCAGGCGGGGGCGGGGCCTGCGGGGTGGCGGGAGGGGGGCGGGACGGGCGCGGGGCCGCGGGGCTCGGGCCGGGTCTGGGGGCTCCCGGCCCCCGCACCCTCAGAGCCTGGCGCTGCCGGGGTCCAGGCTGAGACCCCTGCCCATCGCCCCTCCCCCCGCGCGGGTATGGCTCGGAGGTGGGCGGTGGTCTCCCCTCTCTGCATCGTGTGCGCTGGGCGCTCACCTCCCGGCCCGGCCCCGCGCCCTCGGCCCGGCCCCGCGCCCTCGCAGAGCCTGGCGCTGCGGGGAGGGAGGGGGCCGGCTGAGACCCCTGCCCATCGCCCCTCCCCCAGCGCGGGTATGGCTCGGAGATGGGCAGTGGTCTCGCCTCTCTGCATCACGCGCCCTGGACCGCTCACCTCCGGGCCCGGCCCGCGCCCTCGCAGAGCCTGGCGCTGCGGAGAGGGAGGGGGCCGGCCGGGACCCCTGCCCATCGCCCCTCCCCCCGCGCGGTAAGGCTGGGCTGGGAGGTGGGTGGTGGTCTCGCCTCTCTGCATAGCGCGCGCTAGGCGCTCACCTCCCCTACTGGCCCAGCCCCGGCCCCTCCGCGCGGCACGGGGAGCCCCCCATGCCCTCTGCACGGAACACACAGGCCGGCGCCGCGCTCAAAGGAGAACCATCTTTATTTACAAATGTACAGTTTCACAGAAACAGCTTGGTTTATGCAGACGGACACCACACGGGACCACGGCCGGGACCCTGCACAAAGCAGCTGACCACACAAGCCCAGCGGGCCCCAGCCCTGGCGCGGCTCTGCCACAGACCAGGAGGAAGCGGGGGACCCCATGGAGCCCCTCCGAGGCGACACCAGCGCGGCCCGGCTCCAGGCTCTTAAATGCACTTCTAAAAGCTCAAGTTTAAAACAGAAACGACTTTGGAACTTGGGCTGGGCAGGCGCGGCCGGGCAGCTCTTTGGCTCTGGGCTGGGGAGCCCCCGACAAACACGGCTTCACCACTGTTTCGCTACTTGTTGACAGAAGCATTTAAAACACAGAGACAGACCCGGCCCGACAGGAGAGATGCGACAACAGCAAACTATGTATCCGCCCTGGAGTTTCGGGAGAGAACTCTGCTGGCCCGAGACCCCCGCCCCGCTACAAGCACACTTGGGCACTACTCCCTCTCCGCCTTCCAGGGAACAAGGCTCGTGGAAACACTTCACAAACAGGTGCCCAGACCAGCTGTGTCCCAGAGCCCCGGCCCTGGCCCTCCCGGTGGCCTCCCCGCCTGGACCCCAGTTCCCGTCTTTCCGGGGGCCAATACCAACACCTCACTGACTGCAAACCGAAAGGGCTCATG